CAGCGCCCCCTCGCCGGCCCCTCGCACTTCGTCAGCGACGTGGTCATCTCCTCCGACGGCCAGTTCGCGCTGTCGGGCTCCTGGGACGGCACCCTGCGCCTCTGGGATCTCACAACGCAAGTACCTGCTCCTGCCCGGGCGGAGGTCGGGGCGTCGATGGTGCTGAGAGCCGTGAGAGCTGTGGGCGGCAGGCCCTCGGGTGCCGGAGGTCCCGGTGATGACCGATGACATTGTCAGCCGACCCCACGTGGGACTGAGGACATGTCCTGCAATTCTGAGGGATTCCTGGGCGCGTGCCCCAGCAAGGGCTCTCCCTGTTCGAGCCCGCTCAGGGCTCCCGGCCTGACTGGGAGGGGAGCTCTGCGGCCTTGCAGAGAGCTGACCAAGTCCTCGTCCTCAGGGGCACCACCACCAGGCGCTTTGTCGGCCACACCAAGGATGTGCTGAGTGTGGCCTTCTCCTCTGACAACCGGCAGATCGTCTCTGGGTCCCGAGATAAGACCATCAAGTTGTGGAACACTCTGGGCGTGTGCAAGTACACGGTGCAGGTACAGGGGACGTCGGGCGTGTGCAAGTACACGGTGCGGGGACGGGATGTCAGGCGTGTGCAAGTACACGGTGCAGGGACGGGGGACGTCGGGCGTGTGCAAGTACACGGTGCGGGGACGGGGGATGTCGGGCGTGTGCAGGGATGGGAGAGCAGGCTCTCAGTTCTCTCCCAGCCTTGCTCCTAGTCCATGTCTCGGATTTTTAAAAGTCCTCTGGGATCTAGAGGGGTTCTGGTGATAAAGGCTTGGGTTCCAGGGATGCCAGTGCAAGACCGCCCACATCCACCCCACTGCAGGGGGGGGGCAGGGTTGTGCCCTCCCTGCTTTCCATTTACCTGTTCTTGGGAGGGGTACCCTCAGCTCCCGTTGCTGACACAGCTTTGCTCACTCAGCGCCTGGGCTGGGCCTCCTCCCCCCTTTGTCTAGGATGAGAGCCACTCGGAGTGGGTGTCCTGTGTCCGCTTCTCGCCCAACAGCAGTAACCCTATCATCGTCTCCTGTGGCTGGGACAAGCTGGTTAAGGTGAGCTGCTTTCTGTCAGGGCACAGGCCATCGTTAGCTGGAACCGATGTCTGGGAAGTCAGCCTACAGCGTCGGCTCCTTTTCTAAACTCACACTCAGGAGGGAGAAACACCTCTGCTGTGGCTTGGTCGCACCGTCCTTCAGTTCAGAGTTTAGGCGTACACATGCCTGGCACATTTTCTAAGACCCTGAAGCTGGGATTTGAACTATGGTCAGCCATGTGAGATCCGGTTTCCCTTCACCACCAGGCTACACCACCACCACAACGCACTTATTTTAGTATTAGTTGTCCTTAGGCGGCCATGTTCTGTAACCTTTCTCTTTTTTTTGGAGTTTTATGGGGTCCTTGCGCTTGCCAGAGTAAAAAATCAACCTCCGGGGGGGGGCACACCACAGTCCCTGCTTCTCCATTCTCTCAGGAGTTTGGGCACACTTACCCAGCCTGCGTTTCAAGCTGCTGGGTCTGGGGTTTGAACTGCTGTCAGCCCTGTGAGAGTCTAGCGCCTTAACCACTACACCACCTGCTGGCCCCTCTGTACCCTTTCTTACTACTAATAGAGTAGGAAAAGGTTACCCTATAGTGATGCTTTTTTTAAAAGAAAAGTGTACCTTTTTTGGTGGAGCATGAATGGTCTTGACTCTGGCCACTCCAGAGCTCAGTTCCTTACCTGTGAGACCCGCCCGTCCATGCAGGTGTGGAACCTGGCCAACTGCAAGTTGAAGACCAACCACATTGGCCACACGGGCTACCTCAATACTGTGACTGTCTCTCCAGATGGATCCCTCTGCGCTTCTGGGGGCAAGGTATGTAGGGGCCTGGAGTCTTACTCAGTGGGGATGGGCTCATAGAGAAGGAGTACTTGGCCAGTGTCCTGTGCGTAAAGAGCAAGCAGGGTTAAAGATGAGCCAGGTGAATGGGGGGGGGTCCCCAAAATAGCCTAACAGTGTTCCTGAGGAACATTTTCTGAAAATGACATTTAGACGTTGCTCAGAAGAAAAGTAGTGCTTTTTATAAACTTGGCTTCTTGAAGCAGTTGATGGGTTTGCCGTTGAAGGGTCTACGGTCCTGTCAGCTGGCTGTAGTGATTTACTCATAAGCTGAGAGGCTCTTGGAATCAGTAACATTCGCGCTACTTGCATTAAAGGGAAGGCGTAGAGAAGTAAATGTTGGTGCTTGTGTTGCTGGCTTTCTGGGAACCCAGGGTGCTGGGGGAAGGGAAGAACGGGTGGGATTGACCTGGAAGTGGTCCCAGAACCCTGACTTGCCTTTCCCACCTGTCCAGGATGGCCAGGCCATGCTGTGGGATCTCAACGAAGGCAAGCACCTTTACACGCTGGACGGCGGGGACATCATCAATGCCCTGTGCTTTAGCCCCAACCGATACTGGCTCTGCGCTGCCACGGGCCCCAGCATCAAGATCTGGGTGAGTACAGGCCACAGTCAGGCCGCATGGCTGCACGCTGCCTCACTCACCGCCGGGAGGTAGGCTTTTGGAACAAATGCTAAGAACCAAGGAGGAAAGTGTTTGGTGGCAGTGGTGGGAAGACCGAGCCTCTGTCATTGCCACTTGGGCCTGGGCGGTCCTTCGCTGTGGAGGGCTGCGTGCCCTTGCGGTATGGAGCACGTTGCTGGCACCTCTCACTGCATGTCAGCACGTGTGCACACACACCCCTCTCACGGCAGCTTGGCACTGCCATGAGTCTCTAGGGGACAGAAATCTTCTGGGTTTGAAAAAAGTGTGGACAGCGTGAGAGCACAAAGGACAGGCGTGGCCTGGCTTTGCTCTGTGTGCAGGACTTAGAGGGCAAGATCATCGTGGATGAACTGAAGCAAGAAGTTATCAGTACCAGCAGCAAGGCAGAGCCGCCCCAGTGCACCTCTCTGGCCTGGTCTGCTGATGGCCAGGTACGTGCACGCCCGCCCTCTTAACGCCATTAGTACATCTAGCGTGTCCAACACCAGGCCAGTGTCTGATGTGACAAAGGGATGGCCCCACCAGGTGGAGGGGTGGCCGAGTTGGTTGTGCCGAATGCAGGGTGTGTGTTGTCACCAGGAAAGAAGGCTGGAATCTGGAGGGCAGTACTGTTGGTCTTCTGTTCACGACTTTGATTACTGTCCAGTTTTTAAATGTCTGAGTCCTTAGCACGAGCTGTTTCCTCCAAGAACACACACTACCTACCACAATCTGGCAGAGAAGCTAAGGCTCTTAGAGGCCAACATTGCTAAACTAGCGGGGACTCAGTGTGTGGTTCTGATGGCCTGTCACTGTTGTTTCTCCCCTGCAGACTCTGTTTGCTGGCTACACGGACAACCTGGTGCGCGTGTGGCAGGTGACCATCGGTACCCGCTAGAAATCTACAACAGAGCTTTAGAAATAAAACTGGTTCTCTGACTTTTAGAAGATGTTTTTCTCTGTAGCAAAAAGTTACCTCCTGCTGTCCATGCTGCTTACAGGTTGAAGAAGTTCTCACTGAAGTGTGTTTGGGGCATTTATAGGAAGTACGGCGGGGACATCATCAATGCCCTGTGCTTTAGCCCCAACCGATACTGGCTCTGCGCTGCCACGGGCCCCAGCATCAAGATCTGGGTGAGTACAGGCCACAGTCAGGCCGCATGGCTGCACGCTGCCTCACTCACCGCCGGGAGGTAGGCTTTTGGAACAAATGCTAAGAACCAAGGAGGAAAGTGTTTGGTGGCAGTGGTGGGAAGACCGAGCCTCTGTCATTGCCACTTGGGCCTGGGCGGTCCTTCGCTGTGGAGGGCTGCGTGCCCTTGCGGTATGGAGCACGTTGCTGGCACCTCTCACTGCATGTCAGCACGTGTGCACACACACACCGCTCTCACTGCATGTCAGCACGTGTGCACACACACCCCTCTCACGGCAGCTTGGCACTGCCATGAGTCTCTAGGGGACAGAAATCTTCTGGGTTTGAAAAAAGTGTGGACAGCGTGAGAGCACAAAGGACAGGCGTGGCCTGGCTTTGCTCTGTGTGCAGGACTTAGAGGGCAAGATCATCGTGGATGAACTGAAGCAAGAAGTTATCAGTACCAGCAGCAAGGCAGAGCCGCCCCAGTGCACCTCTCTGGCCTGGTCTGCTGATGGCCAGGTACGTGCACGCCCGCCCTCTTAACGCCATTAGTACATCTAGCGTGTCCAACACCAGGCCAGTGTCTGATGTGACAAAGGGATGGCCCCACCAGGTGGAGGGGTGGCCGAGTTGGTTGTGCCGAATGCAGGGTGTGTGTTGTCACCAGGAAAGAAGGCTGGAATCTGGAGGGCAGTACTGTTGGTCTTCTGTTCACGACTTTGATTACTGTCCAGTTTTTAAATGTCTGAGTCCTTAGCACGAGCTGTTTCCTCCAAGAACACACACTACCTACCACAATCTGGCAGAGAAGCTAAGGCTCTTAGAGGCCAACATTGCTAAACTAGCGGGGACTCAGTGTGTGGTTCTGATGGCCTGTCACTGTTGTTTCTCCCCTGCAGACTCTGTTTGCTGGCTACACGGACAACCTGGTGCGCGTGTGGCAGGTGACCATCGGTACCCGCTAGAAATCTACAACAGAGCTTTAGAAATAAAACTGGTTCTCTGACTTTTAGAAGATGTTTTTCTCTGTAGCAAAAAGTTACCTCCTGCTGTCCATGCTGCTTACAGGTTGAAGAAGTTCTCACTGAAGTGTGTTTGGGGCATTTATAGGAAGTCAACGTGCTCAGCTGCCTCCTGTGTTTGGGTTGATGGCGAGGGCCTGTGCTTCTGTTCTCAGCGCATGTGCTCTCCGAGTGACAGGCATGTGGTGGTGTCTGGAGGGGCACTCGGCCTGTTGCCAGCTCTCTGGACCAGCTCACTATGAGGAATAGAGAAATCCCTTTTTGTCAGGCCAGCAGGTGCTGCAGTGCTTACAGGCTGGGTGCCCACAGGGCCAACCATGGTTCAGGTCTTGGACCGGTCAGTTTAAAAAAAAAACACCAGGTGCATGTGTGTGCCCCAGACCCCAAGAGTGGGGAAAGGACTGACTGCAGCATGGTCATCCCTTCCCTCTCTGGGAGCACATGCCCTCATATGGTTTGAAGGAATGGACTACTGCACAAGAGCAGCAAATAAACATTTTATTTCTGCAACACAACCCACCTTCCCAGGAACATGAGCGCCTCAGCCATCAAAGCAGAGGGCAAAAGCTGCTAAGTGACAGGGTAAGGGATTACTAGAAAAATAGATTATACCCAAGGCTCTCCTCCCAGGACCCAAACCCTTGTCCCCAGGCTGCCATCAGGGCTTGCCAAATGGGGGAACTAAAGGCATGGAGAGGCTGGAAACAGACAAAGCAACTTGATGAGTAGGGAGAGTGGCCTGACAAAAGACCTGCAGGGGTGGTGAGATGAGCCTGTTTTTCCTAGACTGCTGGAAGGATAGGGAGAAATAAGTTATCAGGTGATGTAATGGTATGCAGTTGCAATCATGACGACCACTCCAGATCTCACTGAAGCTAGTTCTGGCCGGTCTATGGAGGTAGAAATTGGGGGTGGTAGGAAAGTTTAGAGCCCCTCCTACTTCCCCAGGAGAGGAGACATTTATTCAGCTCTACCCTTCTGCCCAGCCTGCCCCCCCAAGACAGCTTCCAAATCCCTTAGCTAAAGTTTGCATCAGAACGTGGAGCTGGAGCAGGGTGTCATCTTGCCTTAGCCCTGGACCCCAACTTGACAAAGGCTGAAGAGTAGGGTGTGCAAAGGGAAGTTAAGGAATGCCTTCTCCCCTACTCCACCGACCCAGGGCTGTACTGGGCGAGGCAAAGGGAAGGAAATCAAGGCCGCTGCTCTAAGTGTCTGGGACCCATGCAGACCTTGTGGACAGACACAGTAGGTGAGAGGAGGCCAGGCTGGAGGCCAGGAGGATTCTTTAGGCTCCTAGAGGGAGAAGGAGGGGCCTGGGGTCAAGGGCGGGCAAGGAGCCCCTCCATTTGGACCACTCTGCCACCACCCCTCCCCCCACGGGTGGCAGGTCACTCAAGGACAGAGCTTGATGCGGGTGCCCTTGGACAGCACCCGGAAGAAAGGGAAGACACGCTCGCCCAAGAAGGCGGCTGAGAAGGTGTGCACGTGGGCGAGTGTCTCGGCGTTGTAGAAGCCCAGGCGCCCGGCCTCATAGTCCAGGTAGACGCCGAAGCGCCGCGGCTTCTCGCTGGGGCTCAGCAGAGTCTGCCCCATGGAGCTCTGTGCCTGGTAGCGCTTGCCGTTGGTGCCCACACACCACACTTCCCGCTGGAGCAGGGGCTGTTGGGGCAGGTGGAGCCGGCAGGGACGATGGTGGTGACGCGAGGAGCCA